AGGTGGTGCATGCTGTCAAGGTACACAAAGCATTGAATCTTTTCCCCTCTCTGGCAGGCGAACAACGGAAACGTACAGTTGGTGCACCAGGAGAGCAACAAGGACGCCAACGGGCTCTCCTTCCGCCTCAAGCTTCTCTCCGACCAGCGCATGCACGAGCGATTCACCGGCGCGGAGCTTGGGAACATTGACATGTAAAGCCAGCAACGTTGTTGCGTTGGCTGCCTGCACACCCCGGGTACGCATGACTGCCGGGCAGTGCCAGGGCTGATGAAAAGGGAGCTGGGGGAAACCGGACGGCTTGGTACCGTCGTCGTGTAGATATCGATCATAGGATCGATAGCGCGTGAAATCCAGGCAAGGCAGGGTGGTGTCGAGATGCCACTGGAGTTCGTGGATTGAAAAGACGGATGACATAGCGGAGATACTATCATCACGAAAAGTTAGAGAGGGGCGGTATGGGGAAACGTAAGAAATTGTGGAACAAGATATATCTCGTGGTAATTAACGTAAGTAGTAATGGGGGAAAAGAAAAAAACGGTGCGCTGTAAAAACATATATGAATAGGGGCGGGGTGGTTCATTTGTATCCCTGTCACTTGAAAGAGTAGCAGCCGCAGGACACAGTACCAGGGATACCACGGCGACACTCGAAATGCTAGATACCGATCATGTGCCCCCCAAGCTTTAGATTTCTGGGCGGGGAAAACATGTGTTGTCGGCGCAAAGCCCGCTACAATGTATGCATTGCTACCATGGAGTGCTGGTTCTTAAAAAACGTTCGCCTCGGTCTCTACTTTTTTTACTTTTCTTTGCGCTCTCGTGTGAGATTAACTGCCAAATTATGCCTCCTCTGACGAAGAGAAGACAGAGGATGTCAACACTAGGCGACTCGGATGTGGGGCGTCGAAAAGTGCATAGCCTGTAGGGCGTGTGCCCCCAAAAAGTGCATACATAGCCAAAATAGACTCATTAGCCAGACCTCGCGCCGCACGCTGTCCTGCCCCCGGCCCTGGCCAAAATTCTGGTTTCATTTAATGAATTCCATGATGGATTTCTTTTTGTTTTTTTTGCTTCAAAAGTAATATTGAAACGTATATTTGGGGCTCTGATAGGTGAGTTAGCAGTCATGATGGTAAAAATGTCAATTGACCGGCATCTTTGAAAGTGGTCATATCTTGAAGTATGGAAAAGGAGGCGTACACGATGTCTGCTCCTCTGGCCCCTCTGGTCGGTCAGGTGTAAATCTAAATGCCTGCAAACAACATTATGCGCCTTTTGAAATATTGAGCTGTCTGAAATTCTTTCCAAGAGTTAAGTCATTGACAATTTGATAAAAAAAACTGTGTGTATACTTACGAAGATCCTTGTACGTTGCCCTCGACCGAGGAGACTTTCCTGCGCTGCGTCAAAACCGACACTCGCAGTAATTTAACTGACGACACTCATAATAAAAAAATATGCCCCCCCCCGACCAAAAGTGGATAGGGAAAAAGGAAGGACACACAAGCTGTTAGCGGTATTACAAGAGCTTAGTGTCCATTTCGATGAACAAATAACTTACAAATCGGGCAAAGCAAGTCTGGAGAAAAACGATATTTCACACACAAGTTGATTTTGGGTTCCTCTCTTCAACGAATTATTCGAGTGTTTGCACCATGTTAATAACACAAAGCACGCGCCAACACTTGGACCATGCCCACCAAAATCAAAAGATATAAGCAGCAGAAGCTCGTCCACAAACAACACTTGCAAGGGCGAAGGGTATGTAGCGCCGCTATTTGTAGTCTTGCGTGAAGGAAAGGCTATGTGCTCAAGCACAAGCATCGCCTCCTCTTTATTGCCCCAAGTCACTCTGACACGGTTGCCAGTCGATCTATACGGATGGCGTGCACTCTTTCCCCTTTGCCTCCTGACCGGAAGCTGCCCTCTGATTTATCTTGAAGTGATGTCGATCGAAAGAAATTTCACAGCAATTCATTTTCAATGGCAGGGCGGGAGCACATCTTCTCTTCGTCGTCGTAAGTTAGTTCAAAATGTACACTCGTCGCCCATCCACGTCGTTTGATACTCGGCACGCCAGCTGCTTCAACGTCTGTATTTGATCAGCTTTTTAATCCGCGCAATCGTTTTCTTGTCTCGCTCCTGCTTGTTGCGCTCGACCTTCCCTTCACCACCCCTCCTCTCCCCTGATGCCGCCCCCAGAACGCTCTCCTTCTCTCTTACCCCTCCTACTTCGCCCTCCCCATTCCTCCCTCCCAGCAGCTTTTCCATGGGGAGGGTGCTGAGGGCAAAGGCTTTATTCCGCGAGGCAGGGTGGGAAGAGGGGAGCTCTCCCGTCACTGAAGAACAGAAAAGAAGAGGGAGAGTCCGGAAGGAAGGGGGGAGAAAGAGGAGTGGATGTCTTTCGTTTTTTAAAAACGCACGCGTGTATGACAGGGTAGAAAACGTTAAGAAAATGCCGAAAAACACCCTGAAAAGCCGAGCCCACTTACTCTGGCGCCGCACCACGTCCAAGACTCCTCTCGCCCTCCGTTCCCCCGTGCTACCCCCACAACCCTCCCTCTTCCTCCTCTTCGCCTCGACATTTTCCCCTTCCAGTCCTTTTCCCTCCCCGAGCCCGGCAACCTCGCCCGCGTCGTTGTTTCGTCGTTTCCACGGAGATTCGCCGCCAGGCTGTGGAAGAAGAGGGAAAAGGGAAAAGGGAAGGGAGGAAGGCAGGAGCAGGGTTTTGGAGGACGAGTAACTGCCTTTTGCAAATTCGTCTACAGGTCGATACCCTTCTCCGCCCTCGCATTCTCGCACGTCCGCCTCTTATTCGCTCTTGCCTTTAC